TTGTTTTCAAATAAACAACATTTTACCATAGACTTAGGCAAGACATTTAGATTTGTATTTTCTGTAGAAAACATTTCTTAATAGAAGACATTAAAACTTTTTGGAGAGGGTACATTAGAATACGTTCTGGCTTTTTGGCACTAAAGTGACACAATTGTACCTCCTGGGTCCTCGTCAGTAGTCTAGATTTTGGCTGTCTCTATAGATGTGACATAGCAGTATCTCTTGCTACTAAGCAACTAGTGCCAGGCTAAATCAACATGAGGAAGGACATGGCATTGCTGACTGAGACCCTGCAGCCATCTGTAGGCAGCAGCATGGGGTGAGGTGGCCACTGAGACCTGGAAAATTAATCACTACGTCTGAGGTCAAATGATGATCAAATATAATATTGATTCCCTGACCTATAGTTTGGGGGTTGGGGAACTTTTAAATATGGTGTGTGCAGTATGCTCTCTCTTTACACTTAAAAAAAAAAAAAAAAGAAAGAAAGAACAGAAAGGAGGAAAAATAAGGAGTGTTCACATGATCTAAGTCGTGGTGTTTTATTTCTGGATTGACATTGCCCCCTTGGGATTTCATAGGTAGGTGGAACTCGACAGGGCTGCTGCTTTTAATAAGTCTGATGCACACCCAGCTTCTCTTCCCACTTCCACTTAGCAGGGACATAAGTGCTGATTAGCCACAGGGAGTGGTATTATTCTTAGATAATACTAGCCTAAAAGTTTTGTTATGAATTAAGAAAAGTAATGGAGAAGTTTGATTTGATCTTCACTGCTTTCTAGTTTCTGGGTCTTTGTTACCCGTAAGTTGTCCTTCCTCTTTGAATCTCCTCTGGCTCTTCTGACTCTTTCCAAAAGAGCTTTTTTCAGCATTTTTCTTTTTACATTCCTTCCCGGAGCTACTTAACATCTTCAATTATCACCAACATTCCGATGACTCCAGAATCTCTCTCCGGCTCCAATGGCCGTCTCCGATTCCAGCTCCGCCTGCTCGCTGGATGCCTCCCGACTTTTCCCAGCCTTCGGAACTGCAGATGTTGCCCGCCCAAAGCCCAGCACCTGTCTTCCCTCGTTTCCTTTCCTGTGGGTGGCCCAGTCTCCCAGCAGACGCAGCGTTCTGCCCTCATGAACATCTTGTTCTTTGCTTTCCACAGGCAATTGTGCTGTTTTGGAGGTAGAACCGTTCCTCTCACGTACCCCCTCTCCTCTTTATTCTTGCCAGAAAAGCTGATTTAAAAAACGTTTTCCTCGGTGGCTCCAGTTTTCCCTTCTCAGATCTACCTGACAGATCACTGTCATGCTAAACATGGCACTCTGTTGTGGGCTGAGTTTTTTTTTTTTTTTTTTTTTAATGGACTAAGTTGTGTCTCCCTCAAATTTATGCATCGAAGTCCTAACCCCCAGCACCTCAGAATGGGACTGTATTGAAAGATAAGGCCTTTACAGAAGTGGTTAAGGGAAAATGAGGTCATATGGGTGGGCTGATATGATTTCATTTTACCTTAATTGCCTCATAAGAGGAAATGCAGATGCAGATACATACGGAGGGGAGACCGTATGGGGACACAACACAAGACAGGGAGAAAGGCCTCGGGAGAAAGCAGCCCTGCAGGCACCCTGATCTTGTTGATCTTGGATCTCTCACCTCCAGACTGATTTTGGACTCCAGCTGCAGCATCAACTCCTCTGGATCTGCAGCCTACTGCCCCGCCCTGCAAAATTCAGACTTGCCAGGATCCACAAGCACGTGAGCCAATTTCTCTCTTTCTCCCTCCCTCCCTTCCCTCTGTCCTTCCTTCCTTTCTTCCCTCCTCTTCCTCATCCTTTCTTTTCTTTCTTTTTCTTTCTTTCTCCTGTTCTCTCCCTTCCTCCCTCCTTTTTTTCTTCCTCCTCCCTCCCTCCCTCCCTTCTTTTTTCCTTTCTTCTTTCTTCTTTCTTTCTGTTTTTCTTGAGACTTGATCTGTTGCCCAGACTGGAGTACAGTGGCATGATTACAGCTCACTGCAGCCTCGAAAGATGTCACCAAAGGAACTGATTTTATGTAAAAGTGTGGTAAAGTGGAAGCCTCAGAACACTCTCAAAAACCGTGCTGTTCACTGAGAGCAACAAGCCAAACCATAGACCATGGAGTTTATTGGAGAGAATTGTAAAAAGAGAGAGCTAGCAGGAGCCCTCCTGGGTCAGAACAAGCCTTAAAGACGGGCCCCAAAGCCACCCCTGCCTGAAATTAATTGGAATAGACTGTGGAGCAATGTATGCCCCAGGGCATAAGCAAAAATAATAGAGCAATCATCCAGCAATTACTGGGTGTCATGTCAAATGAAGCAGACAGCTTATCAGAGAGATCAGGGAAAGAGACAGTTAGAGAGAGCTGTGCTAAAACCCTGTCATCTCAGGTGGCTGTGTGGAGGCCAAGCCTGAACCTTCTAATAAATTTAGCAGGTTAATACCTGGCTTATTAAACACACTTTATTAACATACTTTTCCTTATTGAATACAAAATAAACCATTACAAACTATAGTCACAATAATCAGGAGAGGATCAAAGCTACTGAGCAAATAGACCAGCTATAAAAGTTTATTAAAAAAATAGACAACATATGTAAACATATTTTTCAGTCATAAGGCTTCATAATACAGCACATTAGGCCCATGCCTTAAATCTCTGCAGTGGGAGCACCTTAATTTTTGACTTACAGTAATTGGCTCAATTTATCTTTCAGTGAACATTAAGCCTACACAAAAATAAATAACCAGATTCTGCTAAGTTAACTAACCCAGAAAATCACAAACGTACAATAGATTGCAGCAAAAGTTAACTCTCTGCAGTAGCATGTGAGACTGAATTCTTCTATTGCAATTACTTTAATATAGCTTCATTTTGAAATTCATCATAAGGTAGATGACTAAAGCTAAAGGGGAGTAAGAACAGAGGTAAATGAACACCCAGATTACACACACTCCCCAATACACACATGCATACACATATGCACTAACATGCATGCACACACACCCACACACATGCAAACACACACACACACACGTAGGGGATGTTTTGGTAGAAGCAAAACTGAGAACATAGTTTTTATCCTTATCTTTCATGTATTGATCTTTTTAGTTATATATTTCCTCTAGCATTAAGCTGGAAGCTACATGCTCCAAAATGACTACAAAGCAACCAACCATAGTTTCAAATGTGATAAGATTTTGGGGGAAACCAAATCTCTACTATGTAATTCAATAACCACTCAACAGTGAAGCTGAATCATAGATGGATGATAATACAAGAAAAATGTAATAAGTACCTGAGACTTTCCTGTAAGAATCCGGGATGCAAGGCTGTTTTCCTTAGGGCAAAACTCGCCATGTTCATGCAATCCTTTCATGGTTTCTCATCTGCTGGATGTAACTGTTAGGTGACCACAATGCTGCAAAATTGCCAAATAATATGATTTGCCTTTTCTTCTATTATAGGTGATATATTTTATCACACATGATTGAATTTATTTTAAATTGTGGACATTTCAGTTACTCAGTAAATCTTAAGCAAGGTACAATTTCAAATGAAACATCAAGCAATGTTTTTAATTTAGTGTTTCATTGTATGGAAAAACTTAAATACCTATTATCTGTCTTCTGAAGAGCCATATTCTAGAGACAGAAGGGAAACACAACATATTGAATATAAGAAACCCAGGCATATTTACCAAGCTCAATGGTTGATAGGTAGCCATTTCTATACCAATAGCTCCAGCCAGTCAGGTTGTATCATATATGTATGACCACAAAAGTGATTCATAAATAATTTTATCATTTAAATCCCGATCTGCTATTCAAAGACCCATTTCTGAAAACAATTCTTGATATAGCTGTCATTTCCACCATATAGGCTTATTTCAACAGGTGTCTAACATTCATCCACAACTAAACGAAATGTAAAAGTAACAACGTACTTAAATTCTAACAGTACTGTGCTGCTGTTCCTTGAGTTGTCAGTGTCTTTGAGATTATTAGGGTAATTATGTAAATAGAGAAAAATAAAATTAAAACACATGACTGTTTACAATACATGATATCTGTGAAAAGCTAGGCATCTGTAACAATTTTTTAAAGTCTTACTGGAGAATGAAAAAGTTTTCCACTTCTGAATATCAAATAAATGGCTACTGATGAAGGAAGAATATTTTCTATAGGAAAAAACCTAAAGATTAGCCTTGCTCAGGGGTGTACCATGTGGTCTTAGCCAAACGTCAATGACTGATTTTTGAACATCTATTTTGGAGTTCTAATGAATAAAATGTTTACAACTCACATTCAGTAAAGCTTTTATAAGTTACATTCAGTATAATTTTCTCAGAGAAAAATATCATTGCATAATTTAAGTGAGAGCTGGACACATTTATGCATTATCACCACAGCCAGGGTTAGGTAGTTTAACCAGGACTCTACATCTATTCTAGTCATCAGGCTTTAAAAAACCTTTACTTACTAGTATCACATTATTCTTGCCGAGAAACTCAAGCTCTTTCTTGGCTTTTTTGTTACACAAATAATAATTAAGAAAAGAAACGAAAAGAGAGAGAGAGACAGAGAGAGAGAGAGAGACAGAGAGAGAGAGACAGAGAGAGAGAGAGAGAGAGAGAGAGAGAGAGAGAGAGAAACAAGACAAGGAAAGGAAAGAAAGGAAAAAGAAAAAAAGAAAAAACCAAAAATGGTGAAGCACATTGCAATTTCTGTTATGTACAAATAGGCAGAGACATAAATGAGAACAAAAACATTCACACTGTGCTGAAGGCAATTCTATCCAGCACAGTTTTCATTGGTGCACATCTCTTGTTTTACACTTTTATGTATTCCAAGTTATAAGAAAAGAATCCAGTGGAAAGCACAATAGACACGGCTGAGAGCAATCATCTACATTTTTGAGAAGTTAGATACACCTTACTAATTTAGTAACAGGGCCACAGCTTTTGAAAACACAGCAGCATAAAACAGTTCAAAGGTAGATACATTGTGTTTATTTGTTCACCTTTTAAAAAATGCTTACGTAACAGTAAGGCACTTAATTTAAGACAGGAATTCTTTCTCCAGTTCATAGATAGATGGCCGGCTAGTTTTGCTCCTCATTCTGCACAGAGGCACAGTGTAGTCCCTGCTCTGACCTTCCACATCAGCATCCAGTAATGAAGTCATATGGGATTTAGTTCTTTCCTTGGCACCAAGGAATTGGGTGGGATGTGGATCCGGGCAACCCACTACACAAGCAGGCTGTGCCCGCTGAGACACCGCTGTCTGTGGGTGAGCCTGAGGCAGACCTGAGTGGCTTCTCAGGGAGGCTGGGTGAGGCTGAGGCACGATGTGAGCAGTACTGTGCTTCCTGGGTGAGACCTCCCTTTGCAAGTGACTGTGAGGAGCAGGTGAGGGGCAGGGTGGCAGTGCAGAGGCTCCAGTGGCTGAGGTAACAGCGGCACCAGCTGATGGAGAAAGCCAAGACAGGATGCAGTTAGAAAGAAAATGAGTTCTAGGCCGGGCGCGGTGGCTCAAGCCTGTAATCTCAGCACTTTGGGAGGCCGAGGCGGGTGGATCACCAGGTCAAGAGATCGAGACCATCCTGGTCAACATGGTGAAACCCCATCTCTACTAAAAATACAAAAAAAATTAGCTGGACATGGTGGCGCGTGCCTGTAATCCCAGTTACTCGGGAGGCTGAGGCAGGAGAATTGCCTGAACCCAGGAGGCGGAGGTTGCAGTGAGCCAAGATCGCGCCATTGCACTCCAGCCTGGGTAACAAGAGCGAAACTCCATCTCAAAAAAAAAAAAAAAAAAAGAAAAGAAAAGAAAGAAAGAAAGAAAATGAGTTCTAAAACTATAAAACTATCAATATCAAGAAAAACAATTATGATGGCAATTCAACAAGGTGATAGCTTTAAAATGAGCTTCAACAAAAAAACATGCATTCACAGGGATCCGAACTCTTGGCCTTAAGGACCAAGGAACTCTGCCTCAGCCTCCAGAGTAGCAGGGACCACAGGCATGTGCCACCACCCCTGGCTAAAGTCCTGCAAGTTTGCAAAGAGTACTTCAACCTATGGAAATTGTATTTGCAAACGCAGCTAAATAATCCTCATAGTGCTTAGGCCAACAATCATTACGAATCATTACAATGATAGCATAAGGGTAGCTTTCAATATGGACTAGACTGGAATAAATTTAAGAGGTTTAAAAATGACAGTCAACATGATTAAATTTCATTGTAGATTATGATTTGACAAAACTGATGAAAATGGGAAAGTGGTTAGACTTTTACATGTTACCTCTTTTCTTAAGTGTACTGAAGAACCGACTCACATTACCACTTTTGCAAATAATTATTGGCTTATACGTAAGAGAAAAACATGTTTTCGTGTGGTATTACTGCGCTAGGAATTCTTCTTGTGCAATTATAAATTACCAATACTTACTGACCTACAAAAAGATAATAAACCAATTTATCTAAAGGCAATAAGCAATAAGATGGAAAATATCATATCCAGATATAATATTTAAAAACAAGTAAAGGAAAAGATAAAAATGATGAAAGCAGTTTGTTTTAATATAGTTTTATAACCAATGCTAGCATACCATTTTAAAATTCAAAAGCATTTTTTATCCATTATGCCACTTAATATTCATGACAGTGTATAAAGTTATCGTAATTATGTTCAGATACAAAATAAATAATACTCAAGCTCTGCAAAGCACTTAGTATGCCATTTGACTTTGACCACAATCCCTTAATTGTAGAGATTAGGTAAGTATAGTATTATATAGGTATATTATTATTGCCCCATTTTACAGATGAGGAAACTAAGGAACAAATTGTTTAAGTAATTTGCCCAAATTTTCTCAGCATGTAAGTGACAGAGCAGAGATCTGAGCCCAGAGAGCTTCTGTACTATTAATCATGACACTATAATGCCTTTTAAGACATTCGAACAAGAAAGCAGTCTACATAATTTTCCCAGCATCACAAACTTACCAAATGCTGCAACTACGTGAACCTTTGTCCTAGACTCAAAATCCCCCATTCTTCCAAAGTAGCCATATTATCTCCTCAAATCTCAGAATTAAAGTGCCACATAACCCCAGAAATCTCAAAGCTGAGTACGCTCTAGCACACAATAGCATGATCCAGTCACATCAATATTCGCTGAATTTTAGGAGTGGAAAAAACACCACTGTGAGGAGGAGTGAGACACTGTGATACAGCAGAAAGATCCTGGGTTCCAATTCTGACACCACGACTTCCTATGTGATCTTGAATAACATTAACTTTCTAGAAAAGCTGTGCAGGAGGAGTGAGACACTGTGATACAGCAGAAAGATCCCGGGTTTAAATTCTGGCACCACTACTTCCTAACTGTGTGATCTTGAATAACATTAATTTTCTGTAAGTTCGAATTCTCTAGTATATAATAGAGTTGCCGTAAAAACAAAGAGACAATTTATGTCCAAGTACTTTATCATCTGTAAAGTGCTGTGGAAATACCACTGGTTGCCTTCTGCCCAAGCCCCTCTTGTTGAATAGACTAAAAAAAACTATTTAAAATTTTGATTTTTTTTCTTTCAGAATTTCCATATCCAGACATACACCTCACGGAACTGTGTGGTATAACATACATCAAAGGGTAATACTTGCTGTCATGGGGTGAACTGTGTCCTCCCAAAATTCATAAGCAGAAGCCCTAACTCTCAGTTCCTCAGAATGTGACTGTGGAGATAGGGTCTGCATGGAGGTGATTAAGCTCAAATGAGGTCATTAGGGCGGGCCCTAATCCAATGTGACTGATGTCCTAAGAAGAGATTAGGACACAGATGCACTCAGAGAGAAGACCGTGTGAGAACATGGGAGAAGACAGCCATCTAGAAGTCAAGAAGCCAGGCTGAGCTCAGAAGAAACCAACCCTGCAGACACCCTGATGTGAGTTCCAGCCTCCGGAACTGTTGGACAGTGAGTTGCTGCTGAACATCCCCCAGTCTGTTGTACTCTGTTATGGCAGCCCTAGCAAGCGGATACACCTGCTACATGCAGTCCCAACAGACAATGACAAGGACCGCAGGGAGGTGAGGCCAGTTTCAGTTCTAGCCCTCCCACTCATCTGTGGTTCTAACTGGGACAGCTGGCCTGTCTTCTCTGTAACCACCCAAGGGGGTTGGGTGGTTATTCTCCACGCGTTCTTTCTGCTTTGTTATGCTATTATAGGTTTTGGTTACTGAAATTCAATTACACTTTTCCCAGAATCCAAGTCATAGTTAAATTAAAATCAAATAAGAGAAGGGTAAGATTCAAACATCTATGTGAACAGTCTACATAATTTGTAAAAACAAATTATTAAATGTCATCACCAGGAAAAGATAAAATCATAAATCCATACTGTTTCACATACTAATTTCTACAGCAGTGTTTTATACTTTTACCTAATTAATGCAACCTACTTGGGGTCGGATTCCCGTCAGACATGGTCCGTCTGTGATGTGATGGTCTATCTTTTGAAGAAGCACGGTAAGGTACATTCCCACACGTCTGCTCTAGGAAGGAAAGGGGCAGGTTTCTTGATACACTATGCTCAGTGCCAAGTCTTGGCATGAGGGCTGGCTCACAACCACTTCCTGGAGCAGTGGGACAAAAATCTGGAGTCAGCATCTCAGAGTCACAAGTGACAGGCGTACTGCCCGCCAGTGGATCTTCACCGTCCATCTGCAGCAGGCACTTCGTGGAGAGAGAAGGCATGGAGAGGATGCTCAGAGCACTTGGCAGTGGCTGGGAAGGTGGGCTGCTGGCCTCCCCACCAGCGGACGGTAGCCTTGTGGGAGGACTGGCACTTCTGTGGAACTTGGAAGCCCGCTGGAATATTCCCTCTCGTTTCTTCTTCTCTTCCTTGGGCAACGGTTCTTCAGCAGCCTGTGCTTTATGAAGCTCTCTGAGATCCAGTCCCAGAGCCACCGATGCCAGGAGGACAGTGCACCCGTACAGAGCTGACTCTGTTTTCTTTCTCTGGGGGGATCTGCTCAGACTATTTGCAGGTGTCAGCTCAGTGGAGACAGTGGCAGCATTCGCAGAGGCGCCTTCCTCCCAGCTCTCAGCTTCTGCAGGATTCTCTCTCTGAACATCTTTCCCAAGGGGTAGATCAATGTAGGTCTGACCGGGCAATTTTAGTTGCTTTGGTTTTCTGTGTTCTAATCCATCGGGGGAAAGTTTTGGCTCTTCACATGTCCCTAAATAAAGGTATAAGTACACACACTGTAGTATTATTTTACTGTAAAAGTCATTTCAGCTAGCTTGTAAAATAAAGCTAAAACATAATAAATACATATTTTAAATCAAAACACATGCAGTCCTTCTCATTTTGGCAAATGATTTGTCCAGGAGGGCTCCACAGAAAGAGACTCCAGGGCCCGACAACTTAAGGTTCCCTGCAGATGAACCAGCAAGCTAGCCGTCTGCTGTTTCCTAAGCTTCCAGAAACTTCTTCATTAGCATCAATAATAGACACTATCGTAGAAACAATCATCAAAACACAAAATGCACAGCCATAGGCACGAAATCACTAAATATGTCATGCCAAATGTGCTCTTTCCCCCACTTCACCTAAATACATGCATCGGGCTCCATTATCCGCAGCTTGCCCGTGAGTAAACCGACTGATCCGTAGCAGATCAGCGGTTCTCTAAGTGTGTGGCCTGGAATGGCAGCATCTCCATCCCCTGAGAATTCATAGAAATGTCAATTATTGGCCCACCCCAGACTACGGAATCAGAAATTCTGGAGCATGGAGTCCAGCAGTCTGTTTCAGCAAGCCTTTACTAAAGTTTGGGGATCATTAAAATAGAAGATTCTCCAAAGATGTTACAGAATCCCAAAGGCTACAAATTATACTTGATTAAAAGGAAGCTAATAATCTTATTACATATGTGCTTAACAGTGCATAATTAAACAACGAACTCATTAATCTGCTTTCCAAATAACATCTCTAGTTTTTTTCCAGCATTACATCCTAGTATACTAAACATGCTTGATGATCTAGATCAGGGATTCCTAAACCCCAGGCCATGGACTAACACGGTGGCCTATTATGAACCAGACTGCACAGCAGGAGGTGAGCGGCAGGTGAGTGAGTGAAGCTTCATTTGTATTTACAACCAATGCCCATTGCTCATATTACCACCTGAGCTCCGCCTCCTGTCCGATCAGCGGCGGCATTAGATTCTCATAGGAGCACCGAACCGTACTGTGAACTGCACATACAAAGGACCTAGGTCGTGTGCTCCTTATGAGAATCTAACGTCTGATGATCTGTCGCTGTATCCCATCACCCCCAGATGGGACCATCTAGTTGCAGGAAAACAAGCTCAGGGCTCCCACTGATCCTACATTATGATGAGTTGTAGAATTATTTCATTATATATTACAGTGTAATGATTATAGAAATAAAGTGCACAATAAATGTAATGTGATTAAATCATCCTGAAACCATCCCGACCACACTGGTCCATGGAAAAACTGTCATCTGTGAAACTGTTCTCTGGTGCCATAAAGGTTGGGGACTGCTGATCTAGACAATTTGGGGTGCCAGCTTTCTTTTCCAAAAAACCCTGTGCTCTTCCCTATGGTGACTTCTGTTTGGGTGCCCTCTTTTTCCTCCATTCCTACTCCTTCCACTCCCTGATGTTGCTGACCCAAGCTCCCTCTTCTTTCATAAAGGAGAACCTTCAGAAGGAGAAGCTGAATCCAGGTAGTGAGTGCAAAGGTGCCTGTGAAATTGAGCACAGTACTGATAACAAATTCAAGAAATTTACATTGTGTCTTGCTAAAGCATCTTTAATTTGATCAAAGTACCAAAGAGGCTGCCTAAATGGTCAGGCATAAAGACCGATTTTATTTTGTTCGTAACTGTGCTTGAAATTTCTCAATGATTTCCATCTCTTCAATCTTTTAATACTGAAAACTGAATGTAAATATTGAATATTGAAAGTAACTCATTATTATTCATTTAAATTAAATAGGCATTCCAATGTAAAACTCTCCAAGCAGTAGGTTTTCTTATTTATTTATTTACTTAGAGATGGAGTCTCATTCACTCTATCACTCAGGCTGGAGTACAGTGGTGCAATCTTGGCTCACTGCCCCTCCGGCTCCCAGGTGCAAGTAATTCTCCTGCCTCAGCCTCCTGAGTAGCTGGGACTATAGACATACACCACCACACAGTGGCTAGTTTTTGTAAGCTTTTCATGGTTAACCTGCTTCATCAGATTTCATCAAGTCAACGGGTGGCAATATAGCCAGAAGCCATATCCCTTAATCTCAGCAGAACTTTCGGTGGGGGAGTGGGGGGGTCTATATTTTTACATCTAATGTTTCCTATACTAAATTAACATGGTTTTACATAATTAATTATGATAGCAATTTTTCTGGTAAGGAAGAGGAGTTACAAATCCCCCCAAAACATGTGAAGCCTAATTACTTCTTGCCATAAAGACTTGACAGAAAATAACTTCTGATCTTAAGAAATGCTATTTATTACTTGCTAATCTCCCCTCTGCTATTTTAATGACCATGTAAGACTATTAAAAGCAAAGCTTCAGTGCAATCAGATGCTAAGGACAACTCAAACCAATCCTACCTTCTGAAACACATTTACCTGGCTGGTCCACAAACAATGAAGCCAAGGGCATGGTTTTCTGATTTTTTATTAAGATAGTCGACCAAGGACTGTTGCCATCAGATAGAGGTCTTATCCTGTAAGAGAAAAATGTTTCTTTTCATAAGATAGAAGCACACAACACACCAATTAGGTTTTGAATACAGGCCAACAATATTTTTAAGGTCTTAGAACACATTTGTACTGTTGTTTTTTTCTTTTTACTTTCTTCCTTTTTTTTTTTTTTTTTTTCCAAATGGAATCTCGCTCTGTTGCCAGGCTGGAGTGCAGTGGCACAATTTCAGTTCACGGCAGCCTCCACCTCCTAGTTCAAGCAATTCTCCTATCTCAGCCTCCCGAGTAGCTGGGACTACAGGTGCACCCCACCAGGCCCAGCTAATTTCTGTATTTTTAGTAGAGACAGGGTTTCACTGTGTTGGCCAGGATTGTCTTGATCTCCTGACCTTGTGATCCACCCACCTCGGCCTCCCAAAGTGCTGGGATATCAGGCATGAGCCACCATGCCCAGCCTTGTACTCAGGTTTGAACAGCTGACAAAATACAAATAAAACCTAAAAATGAGACTGGAAAAATCTCAGAGAAATTTTCTAACTGCTTAACTAAACAATCGTTAATTTAGCATGATAAATTCATCCTAGAAAATTAAGTTGATATTCAGAAATCTCTGTATTAATTCATCTGTTTCTTGAAAGTTAAGTCTGGCTCATGTGATATTAACATAGGAATAGATTTGTCACATCATGCAATGAATACCACCAGACACCACACACCCACCTTTCTTTGCAATCGGCTCTTTCTTTCATTTGAATGGAATTTGGTCCCCAGGTACAACCTTTTTTCTTAAAATTCCTTTTTACAACCTCAAATTCTTCTTGTCGAAAGACTGCGTTCCTTCCCCAAGTTCTATTGCTTTCATCTGAAGTCACTAAACAGAGCATCGTTAACCGTATTAACCACAACAATCCTAATACATCGTATTGGCTTATTACCAAAAGCTAAATGAATCAGATCAGTTGTGAAACTGCCTTACTCAAAACATGAAAACAATGAGGAAATTATTTATTTTACCCAATCTCTGGTAAGTTTCTTTCTCTGATCATAAAAACATCAAGAAAAGTGGAGTAAGTTAACAGAAAAGATATACATTCGAGGTAAATTAGCAGCAAAGATTCGAATACATTTTTAATCTATTTATTTAGCATTTTGCAACAATTAGGATTTTCTTGTAATTGGTGTGGAAAATGCCAAACTAAACACATAACTTAAAATGAACTTAGTACTCTAATTTTTTAACCAAATCAGTTAAAGTTTTAAACTAGAGGCATAAACATCATATATTTTTAAATTTTAATTTCAACTGATTTTTCATTAGTCATCACAATTTATTTCTATTATTTATTTATTGGTCATCACAATTTTGCACAGTCATGACACTTTGGTTACAGGTGCCTTTTAAAACTTGAAAATATTTAACAGTTTTCCATGTCTTGCTTTTTTCACTACCTCACAGGATGATGTATATTCATGTTTAATATCCACGTTTTGCTAAACACTAACATGCTATCCTTCTAATTTAACTGCGCTTAAAAATGATTTGGAGCCAGGCACAGTGGCTCATGCCTGTAACTCCAGCACTTTGGGAGGCTGAAGCAGGTGAATCACAAGGTCAGGAGTCCAAGACCAGCCTGGCCAATGTGGTGAAACCCCGTTTCTACTAAAAATGCAAAAAATTAGCTGGGCGTGGTAGCGGGCACCTGTAATCCCAGCTACTAGGGAGGCTGAGGCACAAGGATCACTTGAAACCAAACAGCAGAGGTTGCAGTGAGCCAAGATCATGCCACTGTACTCCAGCCTGGGCGACAGTGCCAGACTCTGTCTTAAAAGAAAAAAAAAGAAAGTGATTCAGAAATCACTGGGGAAAATTACTGTTATTACTACACATTTATGGGAAAAATATCTGAGGCATACTAGATGTTCTAAAAACAATTTGAAATATTATGATATACAGTGGAATACTCTGTGACCATAACAAAAATGAGGTACAGATAATAATATATAATGTTTATATTTAATATTACACATAATACATTTTCATTAAAAATTGTGTTTATGTGTACCTGTATATACACACATACATACACAGAGGATAAGTTACTAAACACAGATACCAAACTTACTAAAGTATTTCAATTTGATGGAGAGGATTGCTATGTAGAGGGAAATTTAACTCCTTTATATCATTTTGTAAAATTGGACACATGGTGGATGATGTTTGTGTCAATATTTCCCAAATTTTAAAATACACATATATGTGTGTATATACACGTCTGTGCATGTAAATGTGGATACATGCCTAAATGTACATGTGTATGTGTAACAATCTTGAATCAGCTGTTTATTATTTTTATTAGAAGAGTTTTACAGTAGAATGAGAGCTAAGTGGATCAGCAGTTTTCATTTAAGGGCAGCAGAGCAGGAAAAGCTTTTGGTGGGGGTTATTAGACCCGAGTTTATCCCAGCTACATGACTGACTGACCGATCTACCCTCCCAGAGCTGTCTACACTCTCCGCTTTAGTTGCCTCTCCTTCCTCCCCGTTCCTACTTCCCTTCCTCTCTTGATTTGCTCCTCTGGTTTCTCTTTTGTCTCCATATTTATTGAACTTTTCCTGTACTAAAAGGCCAGCAATGGATGGTGAAATCTACATTCAGAAGATGTGTCTGAATCCAGCTTCACCACTTAGTAGCTGCCAACTTGGGTCAGGTTAATGGTAACTTCTCTGTGCCTCATTTGGGGATCATAAAAGTATCCACTCAATGAGGCTGTTTTCAGATTTGAATGGGGCTGTGCACAGACGTGAAGACATGAGGAGTCTTTGGAGCACCCAGGGTCACAATGGAGTTAGGCAACATCGAGGCTGGAGAGCTTGAGCCAACAGCTGCTATACACAAAGCTGGTCCCGTGTGGAATGTCTGGACTAGAACCTTTCCACCATGCTACTTCTGAGAAGGAGCGCCAAGGATGCGCCTCCCTAAGCTGGTTGCATCTCCACTCTAGAGGGTTGGAATTCATTTGAAATCTCAAGGTATTTGCTTTCACTGGAACGCATCTTGGGCCCAGTCAGGCCTGCCCAGTACCACTTCCTGACTTCTGTGAAGTGGTTTTCCCCAGGGCAGAAGGTGAAGACAGAAGAAAGAGGGTAGAGGAGTGGCTGGGCAAAAGTGGGGGTGGCACGGTGTCCCATCTGCTTGTCCCTTCACGGAGCTGGGAGACCAGCCCAGGAGCCCTTTCTCCCTCCTTTAATTAGGCCTTTACTCTGCCTAGGCAAAGGCAAGGTTTGAGATATGGCTTTATGCAAAATGCATTCTCAGAAAAACAGTTATAATAATAAATGACAGTCCTTTAAGTTCTAAGACTACAGCCTCATTTAGATACCGTTTCTCTGCGGGGATCCTGGTGTCTGGGAACTTGCAAAAGAAATCTCTGCTAGTGCCAAGGTTTTCATTATCAAAAGAGGTGGGAAAAATGAGATTCTATGCAAGCTTCATTAGACAAAATTTTCTTTTGGATTTTTTTTTCCTCCAAATAAGGATGGGTAAACAGCAGGGAATTAAGTGTGGTGGAGAAAAGAGAGGGTCTAAATGAATGGTTTAACACAGACTTAGGCTAATTACCACATTACTTACAGACATCCACATTAATCACATTCTTCTGCTTAGCCTACTTTCAGGAGTTTATTTGGACTCCGCTTTGAAAAAAATTAGTAATTTTATTTCATCCACTAAACTCTGATTCATAGCCTAACTGAAACTCTCACAATGCAAAGGTGCCAGGCAAATCAGCTGTCTGCACGCTCTCCTCCAGAATGAATGCTTGTTCTAAAACCAAAATACTACAAGGAGTTTTTAAGTATTAGGTTGATCAAACCTAAAGTGAATTAAGGTTAAATCCTGAAAAGCAAAAATTTCTTCCCCTCACAAAACAATGAAAGAAATGGAAGTAATCCTGAATTCCTGATTTCCTTTTTTTCAAAGTATCCTGACACAAATGGCTGACGATATAATTAGGTTATGCTCACTTTGCATGCAAGTGTTTGACAAAATGTCTCAAGATGTTGTGTCACTTTCTACTCCGGGGCCAGGCTGCATCGACAACAGCACAGAATCTAAAATTCATTTGTTGTGAGTACAAGAAAACTGGGCAAAGGAACCTAAGCTGAAGTTGTGTTTCTGAAATCGTTGTGGCACCTACGACATGTCCCATGCTCATTCACAACCTGCTATGAAAACACATCTGCTCAACTTGAATCTAAGTCAAGTGAAAGGAGAGAAATCAACACAGAGGCCCCCGTGGCCGTGCAGAGAGCTCACACTGTATGGCTCGGAGTCTGGGCATCATTGTGGGGCTGCTCGGAGGACTCAAACTGCTGCTGTTCAGACTCCGCCGTTTGTCCAAGTTGGGAGAGGCCTGCACGGTTATCTTGTGCTGGAAATCTGTTGGATGCAAAAAAGAGAGAACTGATATTTCCTGTTTTTCAGTTATCTTCATAGCCGTGTCTTTAGCACACAGCAATAAAAGCAAAAATTGTCAGACCCTACCTGCAAAGTGTATTTCAGAATAGATTTCTAATTTTGGTTTCTTACTTCTTGGGATTCAAGTCAATAGATAATGATTCAGCACTTATATGTTGGGCATAGTGACACACATGCGCGTGTACACACACATACACACACATGCACACACACACATACAGGAAAATAGAAAATATGAAAGCATTGAATCACTGAAGAATTTATAATCTGGGAAGAAAGAGTCATCTACATTTGGTCTAAGATAGTTAAAACTAAAATTGAGGCTGGATGCGGTGGCTCACCCCTGAAATCCTAACACTTCGTGAGGCTGAGGCGAGCAGATCACTGTAGTTAGGAGTTCAAGACCAGTCTGGCCAACTCGGCAAAATCTCGTCTCTACTACAAACACAAAAATTAGCTGGGTGTGGTGGCACACAACTGTAATCCCAACTACTTGGGCAGCTGAGGCAAGAAAATTGCTTGAACCTGGGAAGCGGAGGTTGCAGTGAGCTGAGATCACGCCACTGCACTCCAGTCTGGGCGACACAGGGAGAGGCTGTCTCAAACAAATAAATGAATAAAAAAATAAATAATAAATAAAATGGCCCTGGATTTAAACGAGTTCTGGTTCTCATAACATAACTATGGACCTCAAACCAGTAAGGAACCGCTCTGAGCCTGTTTCATCACCTGCTAAAGTGAACAACAATATCTCACATGGTTGTTGCGGTGGTGAATAACACAGAAAACGTAAATTAAAAGTATTTTGTCTTTTAGGCATTCTACAAATGCTGGCTCTTATTATCTAGCTGTAAGATGGTAGAGATACACCAAGATCTATAGGTATATACTTAAGAGAAAGCAATATTACCAGAGGAAAGAGGGGTGTGTCTGGGAAAACTTCATAAACTGTCAGGAAAATCATTAACAACTTGGGAGGAGGTAAAAGACATTACTGGATATTCTGTTAGGGCAGAGCTGAGCTTAACCTTTGACTGATTGCTTTTTTACTGACTGAGTTATTTTTATAACTAGACAAAAGCAGAGGTTAACTTGCAGATTTTGTCTGGTGATGATGCAAATAACTTCTGTCTGGAGAAAAAGACAATCACAAAGGTTGTGGTTTATTGCCATATTAGAGATCAACAAGGTTTTCATTTAACCCAGCAATCTAATCCAACATTCCTTTATTCATTTGCCCATAAATATCTCACTCCTCGACTTCTCATTCGAACTGGTTTTATCTAGTTCCTCAATGATGAATGAGTTTAATAAAAAATCTTTGAGCCGGGCGCGGTGGCTCAAGCCTGTAATCCCAGCACTTTGGGAGGCCAAGGCGGGTGGATCACGAGGTCAAGAGATCGAGACCATCCTGGTCAACATGGTGAAACCCTGTCTCTACTAAAAATACAAAAAACTAGCTGGGCGTGGTGGCGCGTGCCTGTAATCCCAGCTACTTAGGAGGCTGAGGCAGGAGAATTGCCTGAGCCCAGGAGGTGGAGATTGCCATGAGCCGAGATAGCGCCATTGCACTCCAGCCTGGGTAACAAGAGCGAAACTCCGTCTCAAAAAAAAAAAAAAAAAAAAAAAATCTTTGATATATGTTCATTTCATATTTGCAAGAGAACTATAACTTACCTTTTTGGAAGTTATACTTTAAAGAACTTTAATGAATGAACTGCTATTTGAGATGAAGAGGATTTGGAAGTTGGTAGGCAAAGACAGCTACCCAATTATTCATACTAGAAATCTGAATATTTGTCTTGATACTGTCTTTTCCTTGATCTACATGTTCACCAACTGCAAAATGTCAGGTAAATTCTGTGCTATATATATGTCTTGTAGTAGAGAAATTTATATTCCAGGTACTGGAGTTAGTAAACTTGGATCTGAATCCCAGTTCTACCATAGCCATATGAATTTTTGAGAAAGTAACTTAAAATCTTGAAGTCTTAGTATCTTCACCGACAAAAATGGAATAGAACCAATTATTCCTATTTCATAGGAGTGCTGTGAAAAAATCAGTGCAAAGAAGTATAAAAAGTATTTACCACAGGGCTTGGGACATAATAAATGTTCAATAAATGTTCATTTTCTTCCTTTTGTTCTCTCCATCTACACGGTCATCGCCATGTCATACCTAGCCTGCTACAAGCCTGCTACAATGCCTTGTGTCTGTCTTCCTGTATCCACATTTGGCCTCCCAAGTCCACTTCACAGCAGTCAGATGCATTTTCATATGCCTGACTGACACGTCATTCCTCTGCTTAAAATCCTTCAAAGGCCTCTTATGATTCTTAAGTTACAGGTTAAAATTGTAACACATTCTGTAAGTCCCTGCAAATCTGAGTCTGAGTTCTTTCTGCTCCAGCCTCATCTTGCCCCATTCTCCTATCACTTGTCATGAGCTAAAAGAGAGGTCAGCACACTTGTTCTGCAAAATGCCCCATTTTAGGCTCTGTGAGTAGCACAGTCTCTGTAACAACTGCCTGACTCCGCTGATGTGCGAGAAAGCAGCCAGGGACAATACACAGATGACTGTGTCCCAGTAAAGCGATCTTTGTGGATATTGAAATTTCATATCAGTTTCATATCATGCCAGGTACAATGAAATAGTCTTCTTCCTCTTTGATTTTTTTCAAGCATTTAAAAGTGTAAAAACCATTCTGAGCTCATAGCTGCAAAAAACAGGTAGAGGCAGGATTGGGCCCATAGGGCATAGTGTGCTGAGCCCCATTCAAACCACACTGGATTTTTTTTAATTCCTGGAAGAAACCAAGTTTCCTCCGCATGTGCTCTCAGCCTATTCTCTTCCTTCCTCTTCCGTATTTGGTAAATTCCTGCATGACTTATTGCACCCAGGCTGAAGTGCAGTGGCATGATCTCGGCTCACTGCAACCTCAGCCTCCTGGGTTCAAGCAATTCTCCTGCCTCAGCCTCCTGAGTATTTGGGATTACAGGTGCACGTTGACACGCCTGGCTGATTTTTTTTCTTGTATTTTACTATAGATGGGGTTTCACCATGTTGTCCAGGCTGGTTTTGAACTCCTTTAGGAAGCCTTTTATGATCACCTTAGACCAGGTTACATCTCTGCACTAATCACTGTCATGTGACTTTTCCCTCACAGCAGTTAAGGATTACAGACAGCAAACAAGTATTTAATTATTAGCTTAAGTTCTGCTCCCTCCCTCGATATAAGATAAGTGCTCCATGGGCAGAGACCACGACAGCCTCCATGGCCTCAGACTGGCACAGTGCCTTGCACATAACAGGTGCTCAGAAAACTTTGCTGAATGAATATTTTCTCTGTGGAAAACATAAGTGTGGAGACTGCATATATATTTTAACATCACCCACACAGCAGATCCTGAAGCGTTTGTTGACAGAGAAAGTCATACAAGGTTCATCTACAGGATCAGGCTGGTGCTTGAAAGTGAGTTGCTGAGTAATACACAGGAGGATGGAGGAGATTTGGAAGACAAACTGAACTGAAAGGAAAGACCAATTGGAAGGCTCCTCCATTTGCTGAGTCATACTTTTTTTTAAAGACAAGATTTCACTCTGCTGCCCTGGATGGAGTGCAGTGGTGCAATCTCAGCCCACTGCAGCCTGGACCTCCCCAGTGAAAATTGGCTTAAGCAATTTTCCTACCTCAGCCTCCTGAGTAGCTGGGACTACAGGCATGCACCACCATGCCCAGCTGATTTTTGTAAAAATGGGGTTTCCCCATGTTTCCCAGTCTGGTCTTAAACTCCTGGGCTCAAGCAATCCACCTGCCTTGGCCTTCCAAAGTGCTGGGATGCCAGGCATGAGTCATCATTGCACCTGGCCCCAAGTTATACCCTTTGAAAGACTTGGCCAGGGCACAGCAGCTGAGTAAAGAACTGACTAGACGAGGTGGTGGTGATTATTAGAGGAAGGAGGTGGTCAAAGGAAGAAGTATTCTTAGTCATAGAAAGAAAACACTTTATTTTGGACTAAAGTCATTGTAAATGTTCATTTACAATGAACATTGTAAATGTTCATTGTAAATGTTCAGCTGGCCACCCGATTGTTATAGCTGGCCACCCGATTGTTATAACACGATAGAAACAAATACTCTGAGAACTCTTTCGGCAAGAGGAGCCCTCCTGTCAATAGCAGAAGACAAGCCAAGAACCAAGCCACAGGATTTGCTTGACAAGTTATTTGGGACCAATGCTGGGGCAGGAAATACTAAGTTCAGAAACCAACATGGAACACATGTAAAGCCATGGGTGAGCAGCAAAGATACAAGGCTGCATTTTAACAACACCTAAGATTCAGAGTGCTTCTGAGCTTCTGAAAACACCCACATACAGAAATAGAAATACCATTTGACCCAGCAATCCCATTACTGGGTATATACCCAAAGAATTATAAATTGTTCTATTATAAAGACACATGCATACATACGTTCATTGTGGCACTCTTTACAATAGCAAAGATCTGCAACAAACCCAAATGTCTATCGTCGATAGACTGGATAAAGAAAATGTGGCACATATACACCAGGGAATACTACACAGCCATAAAAAATGATGAGTTTGTGTCCTTCATAGGGACATGGATGAATCTGGAAACCATCATTCTCAGCAAACTGACGCAAGAACAGAAAACCAAACACCATATGTTATGACTCAACAACAGGTGGGTGTTGAACAATTAGAACAGGTGGACACCGGGAGGGGAGCATCACACACTGTGGTCAGTGGGGGTGGGGGGCTAGGGGAGGGACAGCAGGGGTAGGGAGGGTGGGGAGGGATAATGAGGGGAAATACCAGATATAGGTGATGGGGGGATGAAGGCAGCAAACCATCTTGCCATGTGTGTACTTATGAAGCAATCCTGCATGATCTGCACATGTACCCCAGAACCTAAAGTACAATTAAAAAAAAAAAAA